GTCAATCTTTTCGATCCACCACACATTTTGCTTGTGAACAACGCTGTATCCTGCTCGACTCCATTGCAGTTTTTCAATGCCCTTGTCCTCTGATTTTGAAAGTGACTATTTTCGGATTCCAAATTTCTCTATCGATTATCCCTGCTCTAAGCGAAAAACACAGTATACACAGCGCTTTCCCAACAGTAACTGCGTTAAGATGGTTCTTCACGGTCACCTCCCCACATCCATAAAATCGATGGACCACAATTCATCAGTTCAGCCGAGGTTTTTTCCACTTGCAGCTAGCGTGTCTAATGATGATGATTCATGGGTTCACCTATCGCAGCTTTTACTTCGAGTCAGTTAGTTCTTGTGGGTTAATACGCCCGTATCCTGCGGCGGATTTCCATCATCTTCGCTACATTCGCGTGTCAACGAAAATAGGGGTTCCTGCTATATCGAACTATAACGCTGAAGTTTTTAAGCGGCCAGTACTTTTATTATACAGCTTTCTCGAATTCCCCACTTTTTTGCGGTAAATTGCCAGTTTTTTGGCAACCAGAAAACAGCTGAGATCATCCGCTGGGGAAAGATGTCAATTACCAAACACGACACCTCCCACTTTTTGGCATGTGCTGAACGGTTTGAACAGTCGCAACTTTAATCGATCATCAATTGACTGGCTGCTATAACTACCAACGAATCCTGTATGTTTAAGAGTAACTGCACGCCTCCAGCGTGTTCGCATAAAGTAAAACGGCGCTCGGGTGCCGTTAAGGGCATGGGGCGGTTCTACGTTTGAGCCCGGTTAAGACAGATCTGTTTGCACCCATCAAGTCTGGTGCATGGGTGCAAAATGTCTTGTTACTCTCATCGACCTTGTTCGACAGCTACCTTTCCCTGATATACAACCTATAGAAATTTTCAACGCTGAAGTAATCTTCCGCGAAGACTGTACCCCGGATGAATTTATCGACGTTGTGCTTGGAAACCGTGTGTATTTAAGCTGTATATACGTGAGTACCTTCAATTTGTTGATCATCTGTCTGTTCCCACAGGTATACAACAAAATTGATCAAATTTCTCTCCAAGAGGTGGACCAGCTGGCCCGGCGTCCTCATTCAGTTGTTGTAAGGTAACTTTCTACCGTTTTTTACCGCTTTTTTTTGCTGTAACCTAGTGTACGAACTTCGGGACGTATGCAACCACCGCTTCTCCTCCTTAGTATTTCTTCAATCTGTGACGTTTTTTAGCACGCCTGATGATCCGATATTTGCGGATAGAGACTGTGTTTGTCGGCCGGTGACCGAAAGGATTGCGCGTTTTCCTCACAATCCGGAGGTCACGGACTGGAATCCGCGTACGTGTATTCGACCTATCCAGTTCACGCACGGCTGTTGATACAGAGTCCTAGTAACGCCTTCTGTTCCGTTTTCTTGTATTCTTTAAGTGTATCTCGAGTCACACACTTGCAATCCGCGTGTTGTCTTACGTCTGTGCTGCCGATTTACATGTTCTGGTTACTGGCTTGCTGCTCTGATCATGTCATAAGCTACGGAATCAGCTCAAACAAAACAACATGTGGGGTTTATATTTGGTTCATTTAGAGCACGTTTTACAGTTGAGTTCCCACACGCTTCCACTTTATACCGCAGTTTGCTTTAAGGTTGGTCGATTGATCACTAGGATTGTGATTGAAGCAAATACATGTTGTCTCCATATGCAGATTCCAACCGAGTACAAAATCGGCCATGGACTGCCGCGTCACACACTGACGTTGCGTGGCACTGCACTGATGCTTCGATTAACAAGCAGGAGCCACGGCTTGTGTAATCCGCTCAACCAATCAGCTTGTCCTTTCGATTTGCTTACTCATGAGTAGGAGGGTTTTTGCGGAATTTTACTGATTCGAATCATCAACTCGCAAGTGTGGGCATCTGTCCACCAATCCGGTAAAGCATCAGACGATCATTTCTCCCTATTATGTCTTGTCAGTGGTGTGCATTCCCTCGGTCCCCTGCAAGGAATCGAACTCGTGACCTCCAGCAGCTTGCGCCAATTAGCCAGCAGTTTACGCCACTGAGCCACGAGGGACGGTAGATTCGGGCCTTATTTCGTGTAATACTGTGACATCACAAAACTGACCACTCCATATGTAGAGCAGACTAACTCACTAGCCGGGATCTTCAAGGGTACATGAACCGTTACCTCAGCATTGCGTTCCGGGTTGGGGGAATTAAAAGCAAGTTGCAACTCGGTCAGTTTCCATCGCCCATGCATTGTTAATCCACTGCGTCATTCTTCCGATGGCCGAAATGTCAAAATGTCTGCCATGCGGGCAGTTTTGCAGTGTGCTTCACCCGCGCGTGACCGGTGGTGGTTGCGTGGCAGCGATACCTCAGTGCGACATGTTATTGGTGTTTTCCCCTTTTATGCCACGACTTCAGCTTCAAGTTCATTTGGTTACTAGACCTGACCGGGTTCGCTGATTGGAAGATGTGGTGCTTTTCTTTTTCATGCCGTTTCATGGACTGGACGGCTCCAGGTGCAACATCGGAACTCGCAGGACTTTTTGTGCACTGCGTCGGCCGTATTCCCTGACAGATATTCCGAAACAGCGTGTGTGATAATCAGGATGGCTCTTAGGCTCCATTTTCCAAATCTGTTTTCGGCCGAAAGACAAGTCGTCTGTCTTATCACTCGGATGGCGCCGGTTCGAGCTTGCATAATGGACTGGGAGGCCCTCACAATATCCTTAGCGCACAGGCGACGCGGTGTTGCGCGTTAGCTGAGCGACGCTACTGAGTACCGGCGTACTGCTTGTCTTGCGATCAATCATTGGACTCCAACTAAGTCGCACAATCACCAGAGAATGGGACAGTCACACTGATTACAGTGGTTTGTATTCCCGGCATTCGGATCTGTTTCCTTCCACTTGTCTTTCGACCGTTTTGGTATGGTGCTAGCAGCTAGCATCTCAGTGCAATGCCATGTTGCAACGTAAAACGCGAAGGTCTAGTCGTCACATTCAAGTTCATATCGGACTGGAACGATAGAGGAGTCACTTGATTCACCGGACTGACGCACGGTTTTGACACTGCAGGCTTATGTCATCATTATCACTATACACGTCAGCTACAGGTGGGAAACACCTCAGCTACTGTACCGCAATACATAAATGAAAAAGGAAAATAAACACAAAAAGTTGCATGCCAGCTGAGCTACCAGCAACGGATAGGCATCGTTCCGGTAAGCTACCAGCCGGATACTAGGCAAAAAGAATTTTTTTTATTATGTTTCACCCTACGAGATGAGATCGTGGTTAGAGGGGGAGGCTAAGAGGGATGGGGAAGGACAAAGAAACTCACAGCAAGAACGCCATTGAGGTCGGCTCCTTCCCATGTCAGCAAGTGTATCCAGCCAAACGTGTTCATAGTCTTTTGGACCCCAACCAGGGAGCCGTGACGCTCCAACTGAGGCCAGCTCCGAAGTGAGGGGCCTTCATTCCTCTGGACCAAGTTATCGCTTGACAACCTCTCCTCTTCTTCCACCCACATCCCCGGTGAGCAAACAACGCACGTCGTGGAAGCCGGTGGGCTGCCATGCGCAACACGTGGCCCAGCCATCGGAGCCTGGTGCGGGAAATAACGGTGCTGAGCGGTTCAGATCCTTTTCCTGGGCCGTAAACAATGCGTCGAACACGCTCGTTACTCACGCGGTGTTCCCACCAGATGTGAGCCAAATTGCGAAGGCACCGATGGTCGAACGTAACTAGCCTCTTCATGTCCGCCGATCTTAGGGGGCCAGGTTTCGCAGCCGTACAGTAAGGTCGGACGTACCGCTGCATCATACACTCTACTCTTCAGGGCGATAGTAATGTCGCGCCGCCGCCATAGGTGGCGAAGGTTAGCAAAAGCGCTTCAAACTTTTGCTATACAGTTCGTGATCTTCTCTTCGATCCCAATGGCGCTGATACAACTTCCCAGGTAGTTGAATTCCCGAACGACTTCTAGCAGATCCTCACCAAGCGTCAGCGCAGGAGGCGATCCCTGCCAATCTTGGAGAAACGCTTTGCACTTCGATGGTGCAAAGCAAAGCCCGAAGCGACTGACAGCCAGTGCTAATCTGTCCATCGCGGCTTGGCACGTCTGGGAGCTGTCGCAGATGAGGGCAATGTCGTCTGCTTACTCCAAGTGAAGAGGTCGTTCTCCTGGGAGTAGCTCCACATCTTCCAAGTCATGTCCTGTAAATGCAATCTCCATAACTGCAGGTTTATGTCATTGGGGGGCAGAATGATTTCTGGTGATTAACCGTGGTTTTCTACAGGCGCAATGATATACAAGTGTACATTATATAATCGCGGTTCTGTGCTCCAGCCCGCAACTTCGGGCTGCGCTAATCACATAGTTAACCCGATGTGAATTGTGGGATGTTCGCTAAAATCCAAACAATGGAAAAAACATCCTGGGTTGTCATGACGTTACTTAAGCGGCGGAATTGAATGTCTAGGCTATGAACTGAGCTCGTTTGTCCGATCACGAAATTATTGACGTATTAAGTTACTAATAAATTATAAGTAGCATAAATATCTACACTAATTTAAAAACTGAAAACCGCCTTTTTATGCGGTTTGATATATTTTATATTACACGAATAGGCAATATACCCTATCTGCTTGTTACACCAAGAGTTGGGTGTTTCATCTAATAGAATATTTCTCCGGGGCCGCTTACGCATTCTGTGAGGGAATGGCTCCTTGCGCGTGTTGAGCGTGCGCCAATGCCCATCATTTTATGCACGCCGCGTGTCCAACATGGTTGGGTCCGTGTTTCAAGACTGGAACCACCGCATGTACAGCATCCCAAGTAGGAAGGCTCTTGCCTTGTTTGTGTCCGTGCTTCATCTGAAAAATCCTCATTCTTGTCCTTCACTCGATATGCTATTGGATTGTTCGGTAGCCATGGTAACATCCACTATATGTTAACATTTGTCAAACATATGGTACTCGCATCGTTATCCTCATGATTCCTGCTTTATTTTGCATTATTCTTTACATTCTTTTGCGACGTAAACTAGTCGCTTATTTGGAATCATCTACCATTTGCTTTGCACACTTGTCTTTTGATGTTAATCTTCCAGACTGAATAAACTTCACTCAGGGCATATGATGTCGAGACTCAGTTCCGACCACTTACCATGCCTGTACAGGTCACTTCAGCTAAGCATTTATGCTCCAAGCACTGAATTGCTGTTGGTCCTATATCTAAAGTGAGATGTAACCGGGGAGAGGGGAAGATTAGAAGAACTATAAGGACAAATTAATCGGGAGCTCAAATGCAGGAGTTACAGTCACTGATGTAGCTCATCCCGAGGCCCAAAATCACACGCATCAGCTAGATCAAGTCTCTCAGCCAGTTCCTACAAGTTCCTCTACTTTGTGTGATTCGTTGGTCACCTTGTACCAGAGGCGAATTGCATGCATACTTGGGTAGTTTGCGAACCCATGAAGGATTTTACTCTGGGCGATCTAAGTTGAATATGCTTTATTGCGACATCGGTGGTTTTTTATAAGCATAAATCGGTGAACACCACTATTACCCACACAATTCTCACACTTGATGTGAGCAACATTACATGGGAACCGAGTACCAAGGACGATCAGGCCCCTTCCAATCTCAGCGCTCATCAATAATGCCGTAACAGCAGCCATACTTCATTAACATGCCACCACTCCTTACTGGTTTCCGACCTACCGCTGTGCCTTCGTTTTTAACCGATGTGATCCGTCTCGGTTTACTGACTAAACTTGATATCTGACATGTTTGTGGTTTTTTACTGAACTATAAATAAATAAATAAATTGTATATTCCTCGACGATGCGAGAAGCTGTTCCCTAGAAGGAACAAATCAAATAATGGTACAACTTTTCCATGACATTTCCTCAATACGGTTTCAGTGATAAACATGGGCGCAATTGCAAATTAGGTTACACAGAGTAATCAGAATCGTTCTGCTATTTTTTTTCTGCCACTGAATCAGGATTCTTCACAATCACATGACAGATATTTGGGCCGAGAAAAAAATCTAAAGAAAGGGGCTGTTGTCCGAAATGTTATGTGTATGTGTTTCGGAAATTTATTCCGACACCATAGATACCGTTTTCGAATGCGTTATCTAGGGATTGTGATGTCCCGAACATCTTAATCACGTTTTGGACGGTTAAATGCATACTGATAGCAAGTTTAAAATTGCAAAGAATATAGCATGTTCTGATATCATTTGGAAGTTTGTTCCAAATCTTTGAGTATTGCGTTGGAAAGAAACGTTCTCTGATTCTCGTAATAAATTATGGAATCAGGACATTTACCTCTTTGTTATGTATTGGAGATCTGCTGTTTACAGATATGTGAACACCGTTTTCAAGACTGCGAATTCGACAATTTATGATTTTTAAAGAAAACATAGGTTCAGCTTCATTATCCGAAGCCAAACTGGGTCAAATCCAAGTTTATCACATCGCTCCCTGTATGTCAACTTTGAGGAATATCCACATAGCTTTTTCGTGAAGCGTCTCTGGACCCTCTCAAGAGCGTGCTGGTCAGATTTCCGTAGATTAGACTGTACTATTGAACAGTATTCCATACACCACAATACATATGTTTTGTAAAGCGATATGCGAGATTCCGTGAGGTAAAAATGATGGCAGATATAACCAATGGTATTCATGGCTTTCGAAACTTGGAAGTCACAGTGTTCAGAAAAGTTAAACGTGACTGAATATCGCACGCCCAAGTCGCGAACTGCCCTGCATTGCGAGATATATGCGCCTTATAGTAATAAACTGTCTGGTGGTACTTGGCATTTGTACGACAAAATATTACACTTGTCCACGGCAAATGACATCTGCCACAGTTGGCACCAGGAGTCAAGGGCAGATAGGTCATCCTGAATGAGACGTACGGCTTCTTGAGTATTTGCACCTGGCTGTGAGTAGACAACTTTAATGTCATCAGCAAAGATAAATGCAACGCCGTTTCTTATCCTCTGGTATATATCGCTTGGCGATATCCGCCGTCATAGTTTGGCCACCACTACACTTACTCTGTTGAGATGATTCGTTTTTGGATTGCAAACACTGCCCCATTGATGAATGTGGTTATGGTGCCAGTGTCCAATTCTAAATGGTTGTGAGGATGTTGGTCCAGCTCCTGTTTATTGCACCCAACCCGACCTCTTGATGTACCATGAGCTATTCCATTCGCTCTAACTTCGGACACATGTCTGTGGTGATTTTTCCATCATCCTAATCGCTTTTAGACGCGGCTACTTACGAGGACGTTAGCCCTTCGTGTTTTATGCTCCCTGGATCCGCTGGAGTAGGCTTGTCCCCCCCCACACACACACACTATCAGCAGTAACCATTTTTCAAACGTCGAAATCAACAGTTTACACTGCACGGGCTCATCCATCTTTTCTCTTCTCTTGTGTAGTTGCAATTTGAGGCTCAATTTGGACTACCTACTGGAAAAACTCTGGGAGTATTTGGACCTAATCCAGGTTTACACGAAAAAGCGGGGCGGTATGTCTTTATGAGATTTCTTTCATAATCCCCATCTCATACAGAGCACCCTGATCTCGAGAACGGTCTCATCTTGCGAAATGGCTGTACAGTGGAGCACGTGGTATGTAGTAGTCAAAGTTACTTCATGGGATTTCTTCCAGTGTCACATGATCCATCGGTCCTTGGTATCACAATTCAAGTGTGCGCTTGTTTGGGTGAGTTATGCATTTTGCGCACTGTTTATGTGCCCAGGCCTCCAAATCCAACGCCCAATCAGCATCGTGCCCCCCAGTCCCAACTGGAGTTCCACCTAATCTGGATGTACCTAGCTGATTTCTGTCATTTTATGTCAAAAAATCCACACTGTACTCTAAGTTATTTTTTTCACTGTGATTGATTTTTCACTGTCTGGGCTATTTCATCTTTCGCATTCCTTGCAACCATTCTTATGATGCCACTTAGGTCATCTTTCAAAATGATTTGATTGGTATGTTCACATCGGTGCGCCTCCGCAGACTTGTTTGTTTAACGCTGATCTAGGAAATAGGCAACATTCACAGACTTTTGCATAGTGCTAGATGGAAATCATCTTGCTGTGTTGCCAGACTGTTCTCCACACTCTGACTTCCTCTTACCGCAGTTATGATGGGTTCCTGTTGCAGGAGCGCCAAGCAACCCCGCAGTTTGCACACCAGCACCCGCGCCACCAGGCCACTCGGCGCGGGACGAATTTCCTACCCCCAGCGCAGTAGATTCAGGACGAGAGCTGCGGGTACGGAATTAAAAATGTCCTTTTCGGATCCCATACCTCGATGTACTGAGTCATTCTCTCTACAATCAAAGCAGCGTCCTGGTCTACCTTGCCTTTGCTTAGTTGTAATAAGCACTGCAGTGGTTTGTTTCTTGCGCGCTGCACTAGGGAACATGCGTCAGTTAATCGGCATAATCGTTATGCGTCAGTCAATTAGTCGACTGGATTGGGGTCTTGCAATCCGTTTATCCGTTTGTACACGCTTGGCACAGTTCGCCAGATCAATTTCCTCGTCGACTAGGATTATCTACGAGTGAAGCTTAGACTCTCGCTTCACCGAACTAGGCCAACTTGGTTGCTGCACGATCACTGCAGCACAGGGGACGACGAGTCTATTAGCGATCGACGGCGACGTTATTACAGTTCCCTCTGGCGCTTTTCTGGTTAGCCCCAGTCAATGTGTACACACCTATATCGCGCTTTTTGATTGAAGTTAACGTGTGGATGAAGGTTAACTCACTGGCCTGGCGTCACTGCTTGGCAACGGGCACCCATGTCTTACTGCACTCACAACCCTTTGCACACCTTGAATGCTCCTATTCAGAATCAGAATTTTGGATAACTCGTTCCGTTGATAATCGTTCGGATTCTCCTTAATCCAGATCGCTTGATCATAAGTTAGTTGTTTGGAGGCCTGGATCTGGTCTATCACTTTGGCTTTACTTTCTGAATTAATTGTCGAGCACTGTGTGCTAACTTCATAATTGATTTTGCGTTGTATGTGCACATCCTTTGGAAAATCTTCACTTCTTTACATCGGGTCTTAAGTAGGAGTACTTCGTGGTCCTTTATTTCGATACAGGGAATACTATAACCCAACATTATTCAACGTATAACCTTTCTGCCTGTTTTGACCATCACAATCGCTTTTAGTTCTCACTTTACGAATAG